AGAGAGAGAGAGAGAGAGTAAACAGTAAACATTTTGAAACCAGCAAAGTTTATTTTGTTTGTTTTAGTAAGGTTTTACTGCGCTCACAACTGCATTAGGTCATATGAGCGCAAAGGGGTGGATGTCAACAGAGAAGTCCTTACAAGGAATCGGGCTTACTCTGCTCACCTCTCTAGCTTCAACAGCACAAAGTCTGCTTCGACTATCAAGGCATCCCGGAAATAGTAGTTAACAAGTGAGTGACAGACATACAAAAGAAGTAGAGGAAAAAGACAATAATAAGGGTGAGGAAAGAAAAAGCAGCAGTTCGCCCTACATTGTTCCGGCACAGTATGAGCATGACATTGATAAATCAGCCCATTTACAATTCTACTATGAATAAGAACATGTTAATATCACCCCTTTGGGAACAGAAAAGTTGAACGTCAGCACTCACGTTGTACAACCAGTGGATGGAAGGAACTGGATGACCTTTGACATCACACTCTAGGGTCAGCCTTGACCCAATGACCTCTGTCACATCAGCAGGCCCCAGCACTATGACAGGCGCCACTGTGAAAGTAGAAAGAAAAATTAGGTTAGTTTTAGTTTTAGTAAGTGTTTTACGGCACTTGCAACACAATAAGGTCATATAAGTGCCGAAGATTAGAGGTGTTAGAGGAGAGTAACAAACACAAAAAAGAAAAAGGGGAGACAAGGACGATAGATGTTTGATAGGAAAGAAGAAGCAAACCACACCACAGCACCCGCCAACCACCCACAACATGAGGTTAGGAGCATGAAATAACAAAGCGACCTTTTGATGAAAACAGACGACAGAATATGATCAGAGAGAAGGAAAGAGGGTGAGAGAATAACATTTTAGAGAAAAAAAAATGTTCCCCTCGCTATCCGGATTCGAACCCCGGACTTACTGAAGGAGAGGCCAACACTTTAACCTCTAGGCCACGAGAGCCCCCTCCCCCCACACACACATTGTCACTGAACATTGGCTAGAACGGACAACAGAACTATGTGTCTCGACTCTGAATTTCTTTATTAAATGAAGTTTCTGGTCTGGCAGCTAATTTCAAGTAAAAGAGTCACCAAATGTGAGGCATGCTGACAAAAGGAGTTATATCTCGCAATCCATAAATCGATAAATTGGCTAAAAGTCGACACTAGGGTCAAATTTGTAGAATTTCTATTGATACCATGTTCTTAAACTATAACATTCCTTTTACTATTTCATTTTTACAAATTGTAAAAGCTTCCTGATAAGTGTGATGTATATATTTCCATCAGGCTTGAAGCCGAAAAGTATCTCATTTTGTTAGCCCGCTTCACAAATATATTTACAATCTTGATCATGTACAGAAAGTGGTGGGGCCTTACTGAGAAGAGCCCCTCCCAGCAGATCTCTCTCTCTCTGATTGGCCCGCTGTCGCGGTAGCGGAGTTTAGCGGAGGAAATGGCAGTGGCGGAAATCCACTAAATAGCGGAATATTGAGACCCCTGCAGAACCCACTTTCTTCACTGACCATTGACAATGAGCTTGCCCTCGGAGGAGGTCTGACCCGCATCATTGCTGCCCACACATTGGTAGCTGCCCGCATGGTCAACTGTCACATTGGCAATGACCAGACTGGAGAGGGTCAAGGTCACACCGAGCGCTGATTTTTCTGATAAACTTACATCAACGCCATCTGTGAAATTGAAAAAAAAAAGTGAATAACATCAATTCAGTAAAAACATTGAGTAAAAAAAAGTTTTGTTTGTTTTAGAAGAGGTTTTACGGCGCTCACAACTGCATAAGGTCATATGAGCGCTAGAAGATTAGAGGTGTTACAAGAGAGTAACAGCTAGAAGATTAGAGGTGTTACAAGAGAGTAACAAACATAAAAAAGGAGAAGGGGAGATAAGGACGATAGATGTTTCATAGGAAAGGAGAAGCAAACCACACCAGAGCACCCGCCAAACACCCACAAAAAAAAGTGCATTGACGTTTGTCTGTGTGTTTGTGTAAAGAGATGCACATTGACACTATAATAGTCACACAGTCTTTGTTTTGCTTCTTTTTTTTTTTTTAGTTTTAGGAGAGGTTTTACGCGCTCGCAACTGCACTAGATCTAGGTCATATGAGCGCCATTGCTTTTTTTTTTTTTTTATTTTTTTGTTGTTGTTGTTGTTTCATTGGTGCTATATATTTTTTTGTTTGAGTATAGAGATGAACATTGACACTTTAATAGTCATTTATAGCATACTTTTGTTTCATTGTTTGTACATTTGTGTGTGTAGTGTGAAGCACATTGACACTATGACAGTTCTACAGTGCACACAAAAAGTGAGACAGACAGAAGCAACAGAGGGAAAGAAAAGAAGTAGGACTTATCAGTGGCGTCCTCTAATCATCCAAGCACATTGACAAGACAATAGTCACTATTTAGCACAGTGAA